ATCATCATCATCATCATCTTTATCTTCTAATGGCTTTCAATTGGTTAAAAGTTCTGTTCATGATTTTATATTTAGTTTGATTGGCTCAATCACCTAAATAGGGTGTTGGCACCTAAAACCGTGCTTGGGAGCGAAATGATCGAAGTTCCTACACTGCTTTACTTAAAAAAATGTATGGAATTGGTGCGGAATGAATCGAAAAGGTATGAAGGTGTCTTTACATGCATTGTCGTCTTTAGGATACTAAAGGAGGTAACGCCTACCTACCTACCTACCTATACMTACTTCCCTACCTCCGTACCAATGTACCCACCTACCTATAACTTATCAATAAACCTATAATCTATCTGTTTGTCTGCCCATCTAGTACCTACTCACCTAGCTACCTATAACGACCTAATTTTATCGGCTATCTAATTACAATATTCAACAAAGAATGACAAAAGTTGTAACCTTATCTATAACCCTATAGTGTCTTGGCGAACTACCTTGTGTGGTATGTGATCCAGGATGAGATGTCCTTCATGTCTGAGCCCTATAGAAATGCAAGCATGCTATACAAAAGAAGCACAAGTGGGATTAGAGGCCAAGAGGAACGATGGAAAGCTTGTATGAAATATGCTAATAGTAGAGATTTYGTTGGTGACATCATAGGCGCGTCATACGTAAGGGACAATTACAMCAAAGTGGTACGAAACCAAAACATGGTATGTGAGGGACCTATGCTTCCCATCTTTTCCTCCTTTCTACCATCTTTCCTTCTATCAACGTTTTCATTAATATTCAATGTTTTCATTCGCTCCTTTTTTTTCCTTTTTTTTATTCCCACTTTATTAATTTATTTATCTGCMTCAAAATCCTTATCATTAAAGATCAAAGGCATCACAAACGATATACGAAAGGCTTTCAAAGAGAACGTCAAATCACTAACATGGTTAGACGATACCACCAAGAATACAGTGTATGACAAGGTACGTAGTGCACTTGGTATTATATAAGTACTTGTGTAATTTCCTTCAGTCTTTTTCGTTTGGTTTCTGACATCGATTGATTCATCCTTTAGCTTGATGTTATGAGAAATGAAGTGGGTTTTCCTTATTACTTTGCTAATACAACGTCATTCACAAGTAAATTCAGCAAGTATGATAATGTAAGTATATACTCTTTAGAGTAACCATAGAATCGATCATAAGAATATAGATTAATGATCTTTTTTTTTAAAAACGTCCAGTGTAAAAAATATTTTCATGGTTTGATGCCATCATAGTTAATGAAGTGGAATGGTTAAGAAACCAAATGTTCTAGGTTTTGGTTCGACTTTATCCATTGTTATATACCTATTTCAATAAAGTTAGTCACCAAAAAYCTAGAAAGCTGTGATCACTGAGAATCATTGGAAAATGTTTTATATTCAACAAGTAAAGCTTTTGGCACAAACTGAAGCAGTTGAGGATGCTCAGAGGAGGTSAACTTGTMACTGGTAGAAGATCTCAWGTCYATCAACAGTTATCAAGCGGTTGAAACRTGTAAAATRTATCTMTCCATAATCCTTGTCGGTCTCAGCTTTGTAGCTTTTTCAGGTGACTAACTTTATTGAAATAAGTGTATGAYGTTGACCGTGTACAGAGAAGGGAACAATTGCTTCGTTTGTTCACAGTATTAAGGAATATAGGAGTTTTTACGTCCTTAAATAGTTATTATTTGTTAATTAATCGTACAAGATTAATATCAATTGTATATTGAAAAGGAAAATGCCTTTTTTCATGCTTTCTTATTTATCATCTAAAACTTAACTGTATCTGCGCGGAAATAGTTATCCGCATGCTTTGTTGCTTTGTGGTTATCCAATGGAAGTTTCCACTTTCAAAATGTTCATACATGAAAATAATAAGGAAAATGAGTATTTTCAGCCATACTTGCTTTGGTTCCTTGTGCACGGTATCACGTGATGGTACGGTTCAACATCAAACGCAAAACAATAGCTTTGTTGTATGGAGTTTCCAAACCATTCCACTCCATTAACTATGATGCCATACATATTTCATAGGTTATTACCTGTAACTCCAACTTTCACCAGAACATGATAGCGATAACCAAAGCAAAGAACAATGCGCGTCTGGGGAACTTTAAGACAACAGCTGATAAAAGAGAGTAAGAAAACGAGTATTTTAGTTACATCAATATTTTGTAGTCGGCATTTATTTATTTACTCATTCATTCGTCTTTTACTTCCTTCTTTCTTTCCTTTCTTTGCCTACCCATCCGTGTCCGTGCAATGTTTTTATTAAATTTCAAAACACGGCCCTGCAAACTTCAAAGAATTTTTAATACAGAAAATATCGGTAACAGATACTCAGAATAACAGAGCTTTTTTTCTGATTTTTATTTTCAATTGTTTCTTGTTTGGTTGTGTGTTCTGGCCAYGTTCTGTCTAGCATCTGGTTAAGATARAAWATATATTTAGGCACTGCCTAAAAGCGGAGCTCCCGATACGGAAGTCACAGGGAGAACACATAATAAAAACCATGCAGTGAAATCGAATCAAAATGCAGTACATTTTTTTTTTTTGCGCGATTATACTCTCCCACTTAGGAATTTTGTACACAACTCACCACCACCCTCAGGGGTTAGTTTCGTTCTTGGAAGATTTTCTTCGACAAAATTTTCCAAGGCCGACAGTTTTAGGCTTTGAATCTCTTTTACTTAAAGAAAAACGAAAGATAACTACCGATAATACAATACAATATCAAGTTTAGTGAAATTTTCCTCGGATGTCTTTCATTGAAATCGAAAATATGGAGATTTAGGACAAATCAAGATTAACAAAACAGACTTGAAAACTGGTTAAGGTGAGCAGAAAATAACCTCTTTGTTATAATAATTTCGTCCTTTACAGAGCGAGACGAAGTTTACATTCAGTTAAACTTGAAAAAACAACTGAGACAAAATAGAAAATAATGCAAAAGGCAATGCAAAATACAAAATGACGAATTTCTTGCCAGTAAATTGGCGTTTGTAAATTCTTTGAGTATTTTTTAGCTTTTTAAAGCGAAAGACAAAGTCTTTATACAATAACATCTCTCATTTTTATAATCATACTTGCTTGAACAGCATTAATAAACAGTTGAATATTTGGTAACAATTTATATTTCATTCAAAGATTAAATAAATTATCTGTGGAAAGATATAGAATTATTGAATGAAAGTCTTCTTTGTTTTGCCAATGGAACCCCGCAATAGGAAGCGAWCAAAGCTRCATTTTTCTTGAATGAAAAACATACGATAGTTGGTTAAAACAAACCGAATTGTTAAAGGTTTACAAAGCTAAATAAAGGACGAATATTTGTTGTCGTAATATGCTCTCCGTGTTATATTTCCTCCAGCATTAAAATAATATCAAGCTTATCTATAGAAATATAAAAAGTTTTGAGAGAAAGTGTTTGATTTGTCGATTCGTCGGGAAAAATGCTTGTTAAAAACAAAAAATATATATGTATACGATTGTTTGCTAAAAAACACACACCTGAATTCTTGAAGAACACTTCTTGATCCATCTTTGACTACATGAAAGTTTTTTTTATTTGTTTTTGGTCTATGACTTGTCCTAAAGCGATTTTTTCTGTTCATTTGAGAGCCGCATTTGTGAGTAGTTTTGCTTTGACATCAAGCGGGATTCCTGTGTTGTGTACACGGACGGACGGACGGACGGCGGACGGACGGAAGGGACGTCAGTCTAGAGGACAATGAGCCCAATACTTAGAGGGGGRCTAGCACGAAAATCACTGGTTAAAGTTTTTTTAGGATGGGAAGTGTTATAGTTTAAAGAATTTGTATAGGAGTCTGTGAYGTCATACACTCAACACTAAACATCGCTCCATACATTTCTTTGTATTTTGTAGCCAAAATATCCGCTAGTTTTATACTCAGTATTGAAGGAAAAAATATCATAAAATGACTCTAATCACAAGTTATGTACGTTAAGTCCCTCAGCGAACGTTATTACTCTAATCACAAGTTATGTACGTTAAGTCCCTCAGCGAACCTTTGGGTTTAATAGAAAAAGAGTAAAACATGAAGTTTTCTTGTAAAGAAATAGATGGAGCGATGTTTAGTGTATGACGTCACAGACACCTACAAAAATTCGTAAAAACATAATACTTCCCATTGGAATATTAAGGCAAATTTAGCCAGTGATTATTAAACCCTTAAAGATTATTCCATTGAAGTTTCAGCCAAATTAAATTTCGGACGATTTTAGTATTTTTACACAAGTGAAAATTATAAATCCGGCGCGCTCATTGGTCACAATTTACGTCTTATGCGCACGCTCGTTTGTCAATTTGTGCCGCTTGCAGTGATAAAAAAAAAAAAATGAAAAAAAAAAACCCCTCTCTCTATCAATTATTATATTCGCTGGTGTTAGGCGCAGTGAATATTCGATCTAAGACTCGTTAATTATTCCCCAATATTCACGTCGCCATCGGCGAATAATTGTTGAATATTTGTTCATTTTTAGGTGGTGGTTTACGAAACCTCAGTATGCTGGTGCCTTTTATTTGCGTGAGAGTAATACTATATGTAAGTAGAATAAAGTCAATCCAAACTTTACAAATATACTTTATCCCAACCGTGGTATATACACCTATTTCAGAAATCGTTGTCGCACCAAAAGTCTCAAGCAACAAGCCAAGACYGCAGAGAACGCTGTTACTTTTAGCTGTAATTAGTTTATTCATGGTGCATTTTCATTTATTGACTTCACAAATTGCTCCAAGCAAGGCTGCTTGAGATGATAATTAGTGTAGAGCTATAGCCACTTGCATGAACCATGAATAAATCAATTAGGATTAAAAGTACCTGCGTATTCTGGAGCCTTGGCTTGTTACTTGAGGCTCTTGGTGGKACAACGATTTTCGAAATATATAAACTAGGTGTAAATAAATTATCGTAGTAKGTACCACACTTGAGAACTAAAGACTCTCCACGATAAGTACTACTTTATTTATATTTTGTACCGGTGATCGTACCTCTAATGCTGAGTWCATTTTATGAATTGTATCTTTAGTTCTTACAGACGGGATTATCAGACCACCCTTCGTGTACAAGAGTGACTCCTTGAAGTAAGACTATGTTCTTATTTTCTTTATACATTATATACTGATATAAATGATGATTGGACACAGTATATACATATATATATACTCTCTAGATCTTGGTTTTATATGCAGCTTTTTGAAAAAACGTTGTCGCTGAACGGCTCCGCGACTACTCGACTAGCCCGAACGGAAGTATGAGTAGAAATAACTGAAGCAGTAAAATTTTAGCTGGCGCTAAAGAATATCATGGAGAGTACAGCTCGAATGAATGTTTACCTTCGCATTCTACGAAAAGAAAACAAGTTAATAGCTTCTTCTTTCGGTTCAGTTTTCATGCCGAGGACTTGTGTCATTCAAACCGCTCGTCAGCGTAGATCTTTACTGTATGCTCGAGACATGGCTAACGAAATGGAAACGCTGTGACCTCAAGACGTAGCTAATAATATTTGCAGATAACCGCTTCAGTGATTTTTACCCATACTCTTTTTCGGTGTAGTCGAGTCGTAATCGCGAAGCTGGTCAGCGACAACGTTTTTTCAAAGGACTGTATACAACCATATATGCAAAAACGTTGACCCTATATATATATATATTATAGAGAGAGAGAGAAAGAAAAAGAGAGAGAGAGAAAGAAAGAGAGAGAGAGAGAGAGAGATTTTCTTTTTATTATCTAAACACAAGCCAAAACCTGTTGAAAACTTTGGAAAAGAAGTCATGTATATCTTCACTAGTGAGGAAATGGAAATATGTCACTGAGGTCCCGGATGCAGTTCGTATGAAAAAATACGAGTGGTGTATTTCCCAGTAAAACCCTAATGTCTATATGATAAATATACACTAGTATATCAAAAGCATATGAAAAGCAAATCAGAARTTATGGTATATCGTCGCTGATATTTTTCAGAAACCCCGAGTTATAACCAACTAGGGAAAAAATATCAGGGATGATATCCCATAATTTCTAATGTGAAATAACTCACTGAAATATGTGCCCAATCTCTACTCGTTTTCATCAAAACCTGGGGAAAAACAGGGACGATATCCCATAATTTCTGATGTGAAATGAGTCAACAAGATAAGTACCCAATCTCTACTCATTTCCATCAAYCCCTTTAGTTGTGTGCGCTACAAAAAAGCAATTCTTTATCGTTTTCAGAGCGCTAAATTTTGGTGCTCTTGGGTTTTTCATCGCACATGAGATAACACATGGATTCGATAACGTTGGTAAGGAACAGGATTGTGTAAACGAAGCAAAGGAAAAAAACTAAGGGAAAAATTGCTATACCTATTCGTTTAGAAATAATAAATGTTGAAGTTATAGAACAGTGGTCAGTATTAAATACGGTAGCAAGGAATAAAAACAAAACTTAAGATTGGTKCCACAGAAATTGATCTAACCGCCGTCCATTGTTGTGGACGAAAAAACTAGGTTTTTTTATTGAACACCTCTACGCATGACAACCGCAAAGTCTGCTGTAAGATTTTTGAGCCCACGATACTAGTGAGCATGTCCTTTTATCAAAACTGCTGACTGACAATAGAGAAAAACCTTTGCGCATAKGCGCATTTTCTAAGAATTTTGAAGAGTTTGAGTGAGAAAATGTTTTTTGTGTTTTTCAAGTGTATAAAAACGTTCGAGAGAACTGTCGGACCAAGATACTGTATTAACAAACACAATATGAAGGAATTAGTAGCCTTTAGTTTCAAGCATGGACGCTAAGTTTTGGCATTTTGGCAAGTCCAATTTATCGGACAGGTTTGAAAGCCAAATTTACATATTTACAAATTTGCATACGAATTCAGAGCATGCGCAGGCGTTTTTCAMTCGTGTCTTGCTGACTATTAACGAGCGCACTATTTTCGCTGTCATCAGTTGCCTAGTAACGCTAACGCATGCGCAACAGAAAAAGTGAGACAAACGTATAGAAAACACGACAAAACTAAACAATTCTCTAGGAGGAATAAATAAAGGTTTTAAAATAAATGTTTGAATGTCTTACATTATGGTCAAATTGACATTTGGTGAGGGACAAGGAAGAACGAAGACCATTTGTAGACTCCATTTACTATTGAGTAATGAAAATATATTATTTATTTTATTCCAGGCAGCAAGTTTAACAAAGAAGGTGAAATAAGCTCTCAATGGTGGACAAATAGTTCTCTTCACAATTTCAAAGCCAAAATCCAGTGTATCGTCGATCAGTATTCAAGATACCTGCTACTCGGACTTTATCCCGTAAGTGGCTCCTTAACTAGTTGAGATTTGTKTTGATAATTTGACATGTAAAGTACGTGATTACTCCCCAATATATAATAATCATCTCAGTTTAGGTTTCTTACTGTCTTGAATCCAATGTCAGAATTCTTTTGTTGTGGAATCCAAAATGCAAATCAGATTCTGTTTAGCTCTTGAAGTCCAGAAGAATAAGCAGCTTTACCCTTCTTTTTTTTCCTTTCTTCCTTGCTTTATGCTTTGTTTTCTTTGTTCTTTTTCCCCTTCCATTTCTTCTCAATCTATCATTTTTTCTTTATCTAGTTTTTTTTCTGGTGACATGTATTGATGTATTGAGCAATGTAATGACCACCTTTCTTTAGTTTGTYATTAATCTTGTCCATTAGCTCAAAGCTAGGGGCCGTCATTTAGGCGAAAATATCGCAGACAATGGTGGATTTAAAGCTGCTCTCAAGGTAAATAGAGAAGTATTTTAGCTCAGGCGTATTTCTTTTATCATTTCAAACCCTTTAAAGACCTTTGAATGAYATATATTCATGATTAATAAACCAATGTTGTGGTCTGAAATAAAGGATTTGAAAATGTTTTCCTTGTTATCCTCGTTGATCCGCCTCCCCCTCCCACTACGATGCTGCGCCTCCGTCTACAGATATGGACCATCCTCCCTCCCCTCCCTTCCCTTCCCTCCCCCTCCCCCCACTCCCCCTCCTATTCCTTACCCCCAACGTACTAAATCTTTACATGTTTTTGCAGGCTTACTTCAATTGGTCAAACAAAAACGTCAATGACCTATGGTTGTTACCAGGATTAAACTTCACTAATGAACAGCTATTCTACATAGGATTTGGACAGGTACCATAACCATAGATTAATATTAATGTGGAATTGATTTGAAACACACGGCACGGTAACAGATTGCATCAGCCAATCGCAATGACATATACATTGAACTCTCTTAATCCGTCAGAATACTGGTACGATAACGGAGCATACCGCCTCAGCCAATCACAGTAACATATACATTGAACTCT